CGGCCGCACTGGCTGCTGGTGTACCCAAGAACACAGGGTGTCCTGGTGCAGGGCCTCTGCACCTGCTGTCCCTCTCTGGAACAAGTGACCCCAGATGACTGTATGCCTTGCTCCCTCACTTCCTTCTGCTCTCTGGCTTACAGTAGATACTCAGTAAATACTGCTCAAATGTGTGCTAAGCTGTATAATCCTGGGATACTACTTAACGTCTATGTCTCAGTGCATGAGCCTCAAGTGCAAAATGAGGATAAGAGCAGCCTTCTATTACCTGAAATGAGACCCACCCATCATGGCTGTGGATCCCAAACACTCATCATGATGACACTTGGGTTGCAAAATTAGGACCAGCCTGTGCTTCCAACGCTGGCCCGCCTGCGTTTACCTGATTCATTGACGGGATTTTGTCCCATTCGTTCTTCGTCGGGTTGTACACGTCCACCTCGGCGGAGTCGTCCCTGTGGAGGGGGCAGCAGGAGGACAACTGCTCAGAGCGAGGAGGAAGTGCCCTCAGGTGTGCAGCTCTGGAGTGGAGTCCTCCCCTGAGTCACTGACTCCTCCAGCGACCTGGATCTTTCTGATGCCATCCAGCAGCACCCTTGCAAGGTAGGCTCCATCCCCAGCTCTTAGGAGCCAATTTCAGCCCCCTGTGCCCACTTGGCCAGGGCTCCAGGGCCAGAATCCTCACCCCCAAACCTGAAGATCAGGCTTCTGAGTACTTGAAGCCCATTCAGTGCCTCCCCATCACCCAGTACCAAGGTGGCTGTCCCCCACCCCCCAAGGCTACAGCAGCTCCCTTCAGATCTTAAAAAAGGCTCCTTGCTCCACTGTGCATCCCCATGTGCCCTGGAACACTCCTTGCCACTGTCCCCAATATCACCGTGAGCCCCGACCATGTCCTGTTCACTACCATATTCAAGTGCCTCTCACTTTGGGGTCAAGACCCTTCAACTTCATCTGACACCCTTTATATCCCCACAGTAAAAGGCTCAAAGGCACAGCCTTGAAAAGCCAAGATACAGGCCAGGCACTGTGGCTCACGCCTGCCATGCAGCCCTTTGGGAGGCTGAGGTGGGTGGAGTGCCTGAGGTCAGGAGTTCGAGACCAGCCTGGCCAACATGGTGAAACCCCGTCTCTACTAAAAATACAAAAATGAGCCAGGTGTGGTGACGCATGCCTGTAATACCAGCTGCTCGGGAGGCTGAGGCAGGAGAATCGCTTGAACCCGGGAGGCGGACATTACAGTGAGTCAAGAGCATGCCATTGCACTCCAGCCTGGGCGACATAGTGAGACTTCGTCTCAAAAACAACAAAAAAAAGAAATGCAAAGATACTACAAGACAAATAGTAGTAGTTGTGAACCTGACACTGCTGCACAAAACCAGCCACAGATAATGCATAGACACAAGACTGGCTGTGTGCCAAGAAAACTTGATCCATGGACAGACATTTACATCTCGTCTGTCTAACTTGAAATGTTGTTCTTGTCTTGATTTCTTGCCTCCAATCATTTCAAAATGTCAAAGCCACCCTCAGTTTGGGGGCCCTATAGTGGTGGTGGTGGTGATGATTAAACACTGGAACCTGCTAGGCTGCCTTCTCTTTCCCCAGCAGAGACTTGCAAACCACAGCCCAGAGGTTGGACAGAGCTCGCCAGCATTCCCAGAGGGCGCTATTACACCCCAGCCAAGGAGCCATCTTGTCCCAGAACCCAGGGGAGGGAGGCCCAGGTCATTTGTGGGTCACAAGGACAATGGCTGAGGCTGTGGCCTCCCTGCAAATGGCACATCCTAGGCACAAGCTGCCCAAAGACAGGTGGTGTTCTGGGCAGAGGGTTATGTGGCTCTTGAAGAGTCAAAGTACACAGACAAGGTGACACTGGGACAAATACCCTGGGGGGACCAGATGAAGTTGAAGGGTCTTGATCCCAAAGTGAGAGGCAGGGCCCCTGCATGCCTAGCCTTCTCTTTCGGGCTCAAGCAGCCTCCACTCAGGCTGAGCCTGGGTGCCCCTCCTCTGTCCTCTGACACAGGTCACATTAGTAAGATGAACGGATGCAGCCTTTTCAGAGCACTGCTTCCTCCCACATGCGCAGGTGGCTTAGGAAACCCCTGTAAGGGCTAGCAATGGGTGGGGTGGGGGGATGGGGGGGGCAGACCCTCATGCTTCCCTGTGGGAAGGTTAACCCAGCAGGTAGACCTCCCTGGGGACAGATGGGGGAGGGGAGGAGGACTCTCAAAGGCACAGGGCCTGGAACCACTGCCTAGAGGCTGAGAGGAAGGCTCTGGCGCTCTGATAAGTTATATTTATAGCCATCTCCACCCCCATTTTGAAGACACCTTCACAACTTGAGGGAGGGAGAGCTGGGCAAAGGGTCAGATGATGTTTCATAATGGGACCAGAGCTGGCTGAGATTCCAGGGCTTTCTCAGAGCAAGACCATTGCTTCTGGGCACGTGGTGGTGCCCAGCTACTTGCGTGAGAAGCAGTGCCACCCCTGTTCTTCTTGGTGGTCACTCCAAATGCCTGGTAAGGAGCCTCCTGTCTGGGGGGACGGTGGGGCATACGCCAAGGCCAGGGAGGCTCTGGCGGTATGAGGCAGGAGGCCGAGGAGCAGGGAGCTCACATCCCCCAAGCTCCCCATTCAAAGCCCCAGACCAAAAGGGCACAGTGGGGACTGTCATTCAGCTCCTCCCCTTCCCTCCTGGGCCCAGAGCTTCAGGCAGGCTCTAGGCTGGGAGGGAGCAGCAGGATGTGTGAACAAGCAACAGAGTATAGCAGGCAGGGTCTGCCCCGTGCCATCACTGATGCCCACCAAACAGTCGTAGGCAGCATTTGGCTGTGACCAGAGAGGTCATCAAGGCCAGGAGACACATGATGACCCACAGGCTGCCTGTCTCTGCTCCGTGCTGCCCAGGCTACAGCCTGCTCTTGCTGGAAAAGCCCAACTCCACCACCCGTGAAATCCCTTAAAAGCAAGCCTGGGGTTTTCCTTAAACCCAGAGGAATGGAACAAGCACTCTGGGCTCCGAAACACCCGGCCTGGCTGGATGTGGGGGCTCACGCCTACAATCCCCGCCCTCTGGGAGGCGGGAAATGCGGGAGGATCATTTGAGGCCAGGAATTTTGAGACCAGCCTGGGCAACACAACGAGACCCTGTCTCTACAAAAAATTAGCCAGGTGTGGTGGCACATGTCTGCGGTCCCAGCTACCTGGGAGGCTGAGGTGGGAGGACTGCTTGAGCCCAGGAGGTCGAGGCTGCGGTGGGCCATGACTGTGCCACTGCACTCCAGCCTGGCGACAGAGCGAGACTCTGTCTCAAAAAAAAAAAAAAATTGTTTAATTTCCAAGAGAAAAAAAAAGCCAGGAGCTGTGGCTCATGCCTATAATCCCTGCACTTTGGGAGGCTGAGGCAGGCGGATCACATGAGGTCAGGAGTTCTAGACCAGCCTGACCAACATGGAGAAACCCTGTCTCTACTAAAAATACAAAAATTAGCCGGGCATGGTGGTGCATACCTATAATCCCAGCTACTTGGCAGGCTGAGGCAGGAGAATGGCTTGAACTCAGGAGGCAGAGGTTGCAGTGAGCCAAGATCGCGCCACTGTACTCCAGCTTGGGCAACAAAAGCGAAACTCTCGTCTCAAAAAAAAAAAAACAAAAAACAACAGGCTGGGTGTGGTGGCTCATGCCTATAATCCCAGTACTTTGGGAGGCTGAAGCGTACTGATTACAAGTTCAGGAGATCGAGACCATCCTGGCTAACATAGTGAAACCCCGTCTCTACTAAAGATACAAAAAAATTAGCCAGGCGTGGTGGCGGGCGCCTGTAGTCCCAGCTACTCTGGAGGCTGAGGCAGGAGAATGCCAAGAACCTGGGAGGCGGAGCTTGTAGTGAGCCGAGATGGCGCCACTGCACTCCAGCCTGAGCGACAGAGCGAGACTCTGTCTGGAAAACAAAACAAAATAAAACAAAAACAAAAACAAAACAAAAACAAAAACAAAAAGAGCCAGACCCAGCCTCCGACCCCAGCTAGGCCTCAGTTTCTCATCTGTAGAAAGGGAGAACAGCCATGATGTGCTCAGCACAGGGCCTGGTAAGAGCCGCCAAACACATGGTGGGGCTGTGCACCTGGAACTCACCTGACAAAGTACATGAGTCCATTTAGAGTCACAGTCTTGGGGGCGAAGGACCAGGGCGGGAGCTGGCCGCAATCCACCAGCGACCACAAGTCAGTGTCCGGGTCGTAGCACTGCATCACCATGGTCTCCTTGCCAGCCAGGGAGCCGATGGCATAGAGCCGGCCACGGCAGGCGGTGGTGGAGCAGTTGTCCATGGGGTAGGTCATGGGCTGCAGGGCCTCCCAGGAGTCGGTAGTGTGATCATAGCGCTCGGTGCTGTCGGCGGCTACCACGTACAGCAGTCCATCCAGCACAGAGGAGCTGTGGTATTCGCGGGCCTTCAGCATGGGTGCCACCTCTGCCCACTCATTCACGCTTGAGTTGTACCTCCACACGCAGTCATAGAGCCGGGAGCCATCGGACCCACCTGCCAGGACGCATGATTGGACAGATGGTCAGCCCACTCGAGGTGAGTCACCCACCTGCACCCTCCCAAACTTCGGCGAGGGCCTCTCCCTTGGGAGGAATTAACATCACTGGGCTTCACCCCTGACACACATCCTCTCCCAAAGCCCAGGCCGCATGCTGTGGCTAAGGCAAAGCACACGCTGACCACTGCCCAGCAAGATGACTGCCACCAAGCCTCTACCAAACAAAGGTCTTGGGTGCCACGGTGAAGAATCCAGCAGCCTCCTCTCGACACCGCCCCACAGCCATGCATACACGTCAGCAGACCAAAGCCCTGGGCCTTGGGACAGTTCTCCTGGGGAGCCACAGAGCTTGTCGGTAGGGTGCACAGGGACTTGCTCACTAACTCCTAGGCTTCCTGGGCACCCTCTAAGCAAGGTTCTGCCAGGACAAGATGAGCGGAAACCCACTTCCTGCTATAAGCAAGAGACCTAACACGACACTGCGAGGCCACTTCTTGATCCTGGTGCAGGTTACAAAGCTGTGTTTGGTTTAGAAAAATCCATGAAGCTGTGTAAGCATTTTATATACGTGTATACACACACACACACACACACACGTACATACATACTCTTCTGCCTGTATTATTATTATTTTTTTTTGAGAGAGAGTCTTGCCTGTCACCCAGGTTGGAGTGCAGTGGCATGATCTCAGCTTACTGCAATCTCCACCTCCTGGGATCAAGCAATCCTCCCACCTCAGCTCCCGAGTAGCTGGGACAACAGGCAAGCGCCGCCACACCTGGCTAATTTTTATGCTTTTTGTACAGACGGGGTTTCGCCATGTTGCTCAGGCTGGTCTTGAACTTCTGAGCTGAAGAGATCCACCCACCTTGATCTCCCAAAGTGCTGGGATTACAAAGAGCCACTGTGCCCAGCCCTGTATTTTTAATTTCAATAAAAAGCTAAAAATAAAAAGTGGTACTGGCTGTAGTCATAAATTACACCAGGTCTATTAGAAACTCCAGGACATGAAGGGAAGCCAAGCATCCTGGGGGCTGTACCCCTTGGCCTCCCAGGCTGGCGCTACAGGACACAGCACACAGGACATTCTGTTTCACAGCCCTGAGCTCTAGAGCGAGAAGAGCAAGTTCTTGTTCTTAGGAAGTGGGCTCTGCTGGCCTACTCCCTTCCATGGAGCTGTGTGAAAGGCAGCTGAAAGGAATGACCCAGCCACCTGCCTAAACCCGAGGGATTAACTGCTCTGCTCGGACATTTATGGAAGGGTGTGCAGAAAGCTGGGGCCAGTCTCACCAGTTCTGGGAAGGAATTCTCTGCTCAAAGCCACTAGTCAGACTTTGGGGAGAGGGGAGGGACACAGTCCCCAGTCAACTTGGGGACAACCTCGGATTGAAAAGAGGCACAGATTCCGGCAGAATGCAGCAGAGGCTGGACTCAGAGCTGCAGGCGAAGGAAGCTGTGGCAACAGAGCCCAGCAACTGTCCCCTGACACCTCAGAGCCCCACTGGAACTCGGAGCACGTCCCAGAGTGGGCTCTCTCGTGAACATGCAAGGCTGGGCACAGCAGCTGTGACATCCCAGTCCCCACCTCCTTGCCTGATAACCGCCTCACATGCCTGCCTGGTGGGTTCTTTCCTTATATAGCAGTCACAGAGACCGCCCTTCCTCACCCCGGCAAAGGAGGTAGCCTCGGGTTTGAACTGGGATTTATCTTTAATGAAAACTGTAGAAGCCCAAACTCAGGCGGATTGGGACCCGCCTACCATGACTCGGCAGTGTTTTGGGGTTTGGGCCAAGTAACTGGAAGAAAACCTCTTAACATGTGACCATGTTTACAGTCTCTGGGGAGTTCAGCCTAAACACCATGTGACCAGAGCACAGAGCCTAGGTGCAAGCCCAAGGGAACCTTGTCACCGGTGACAAAGAGTGAGTCAGGGGACCCGGTGTGGCTCAGCAGGGAGAGAGAAATTCCCGGCTTGTGGGGAACAGATGCCTCACCGGGCGTCGGCCTCCTGCTCGTCTCTGGATTCCTTAAGCAGAAAAAGAAAGCACCCATTGTGCGGGGTGAATGCCCCAGTATCTTCCAACCAAGTGGGGAGGCACCTCCGGGGCACGGAGTTGGCTCAGCCTGGCAGCCCCGGCCGCACGGGACACAGAGACCCACAAGCAGCTACTTGTCCCGGCTCACACAAGGGGCCCTTCTTCAAGGTTGAAAGTATAGCCCAGATAAATGTAGTCACCAGGGCCCCAGCATGGACTCAGGTGCGGCCCTAGGATTCCAGGCTCTGTGTTTCCCCCGCGAGTAGCTGGGCTCCCGTACCGGCGAGGCTCAACCCCAGAGAGCCTAGCCAGCCCCTGGCCCACTCACCTGTCACGTAGATGTCATTGCCCAGCGCCACGATGCTGTAGCCCCCGCCCAGGTGGTCTGGGAACTCGGCCAGGTAGCGCCACTGGCCCGTCTGCGGGTTGTAGCAGTCGACAGTGACCAGCTCGTCACAGTCCTGGTCGCAGCCACCCACGAGCACGAGGATCTCGGCGAGACCGGTGGAGGGGCGAGGACGCATTCGGGGGCAGGGCCCGCGGTCGTGGCGGTCGTAG